GAGATGGTGTTTTCCATGCCGGAGAATATTCTTTTAATTTATTTATGGAAATCTCAGAGGGTTGACTTTTTTTTCTTTTGGGAGATGGTGTTTTCCATGCCGGAGAATATTCTTTTAATTTATTTATGGAAATCTCAGAGGGTTGACTTTTTTTTCTTTTGGGAGATGGTGTTTTCCATGCCGGAGAATATTCTTTTAATTTATTTATGGAAATCTCAGAGGGTTGACTTTTTTTTCTTTTGGGAGATGGTGTTTTCCATGCCGGAGAATATTCTTTTAATTTATTTATGGAAATCTCAGAGGGTTGACTTTTTGTTATATCTTTTTTCCCCAATGTCTTCACTGTAATGATGTTAGCAGAACTTTTGTGATAAATCTTAAAGGCACCATCGTCTAATAATTCATTTTTACCTGTTTCCACATCCGTTGGCCTAAGAATCTGAACAGGATCTATTTCTACTATGTCCCTTTTTTCTTTCTGTCCTTGAAATAGGTGGGAGTGAGAAAGAGATTCAGGGACCTGTACTTTTTCCTCTGAAGATGTCTTAAGCAGTATACTTTTAAAAATACGATAGGCTGTAGCTATCCCCTTTTCAGTATCTTTGTTGGACAAATCCATATAATTTTCTTCAATCGTTGAATGATTTTTATTATCCGCTGCAGCAAATGTGGAAGGGGGGGCTTTCTCTGAACCAGGAAGCAAGAATGTTAGGTTTCCATAATCTAAACTATCATTAGGTTTGGGCACCTGACTTTTTTCAGGGGGTTGCAAATGTTCATTTTCTGAAGATGGAGAAGAAGTTAAATGATCAGTCTCTTTCCATATCGCAGGGCATTCGTACAAGGCACACCAGTCATACTTCTTCAGATTTAATGAGGATTGAACAAAACTCATGAACTCATGCAGGAAATGACCAGTGAAATGGTGCAAGTGGGGCTGTAAAATAGTTTCAAATTCTTTGCTGTCCAGATCATGATGAATCATGTTACTTAGGATGAGATTCTGAAAAGTTTGAATCGTTGATCTCTTGTTACCAAACAGCACTTTTAATTCTCGTTTTAGCCAAGGGATCACTCTGTCCAAACATTGAGGATTTCTGCCAAAAAATTCTGCTGAAGATATTTGATTGAAATCTGGATTTGGAGCATTTTGAACTAGAATCCCTGCCTGGTAAAGAGTTCTCCTAAACTGAATTACTGCTTGGGCTTTAAATTTCCCAAGGCTGATTAAGTCAATATCATTGGGTCGCTCTGTAACTGCAAACTGTCTCATGAGCTTATAAATATCCTTCTCTCTTTGAGTTAATGTTCCCCTAATTTCATTATGTACGATTCCATTGTCAGGAATTGATGTAAGTCTTTGAGAGGAGGCTGATGCACAGTCTTCCTTGCTTTCAGAAGGAGAAAAAGAGCCAGCATTCAAAGGCAGGACATATTCGCAAAAGGCATCTTTTCTGCGTATAGTGTGACAGAATGAATAGAAACGCTGCTTACACAATGGACATATAACTTGCTTTCTGGACCACTTCTGAATACATTTGAAGCAGAACTGGTGGTTGCAAGGGTTCAAGTAAGTTGGGTCTTGGATCGTTGTTGAACAGATGTCGCATTTTGAATTTTTGCCTCCATTTTGTTGCATTGTTTTCACTAAAGAACTCTTTCTTGAGGATCTGAAGCCAATCCTTGGCTTATGTTTCTTCTGTAAGTGTCTCATGATCTGAAAGATGGCACACAGAAAGAAAACTCAGAAAGCCTGCTTTAAAAAAAAAAGAGAGAGAGATACTTTGAATGCTGATGGCACTATAAGTAAGACATCTGCAAATTTCAGAAGGACAAAAACTAAGAGTAAAGGATTTTTCATGTTTTGTTTTCTGTTCAATTAGCTTCAAGGCAATATTCCCAGAATTGAAAATATTTTAACACATAGCATTTTAAAGTTAGTACCTAATTCTAAATCCTCACAAATCACATCAAATCAAAACTCTCACTGTTCTTCTTCCTAAAGTGAGGACTGGTGGAAAATTGGATTTTAAAATAATCCTGCAAAATATATTTTGTCAACATCATTCTCTGCCACCCACCTCCCCTCATGTGCTTTGTGTGGAGAATCTATTAAAAATTTCAGTACCTGTAAAAGTCAAATAACTTTATTTCTTTCTACCCAGTTTGTGATTTTGTCTTGTATTTGTCCAAAACTGAAGCCCTCATCTTATCTTAGCCATCATTCTAGATATAATTCTTTATATTTAGAACTTACTTACTTCACTATAATTCCTTTTCGCTTCTACCCTTACTCCAAACTTTCACTGAAAGCTCCGTTCTGCTTAACCCTTTTTTCTAGAATCATTGGTTTTAGCTGGTAGTTCTCTCTCCCATAGAGACAAAATTCAATTGGGTAAATAGAAGCCAAACTAAGTTCTAGCAGTGACCTCACTATGGTGAACAAGAAAGCAAGTTCTTATCCGATTCCTACATTCTTTTGGGGTGTTTTGTGCATTATTCAACACAGAAAATTACTTATGGGTCCAACAATATTTTTAAGGGAGGAGAAAAATGAGAAAGGGGAGAGATTAGAATGAAATTGACATTCTTCTTCATTATCTGTGTTGTTATTTATGAGCTCGGCCTTATATCAATTAATATTTTTCTCAGTGATTATGAATGAATTAGGGAATCAGATTTGAAAGGGTGGATCTGCAAAGAATGTGGTGTACAAAGTATCTGTTTGAAGGCTTAAAGAGCTACCCCCTCTGGACAACTTGGTCCAGCTGCTCCAAAGATTTTGCCTAGTGTGTGTGTCACTATTCTTCTGCTAGGATTTGACAAGGAAATGCAGCAGTTGGGCATCCATAAACTCTCATGGAGACAATGGGCAAAAAACTTGGCAGCAGCTGAGTCAAAATATCTGGCTGTTCTAATGTTTAAAAAGGAGACTTCCTTCCTATCAACTTTTGTGAAACCTCTTTCCAATGCTTCACCCAGCCTCAGAATTTTATTAAGACCTTATTAAGAACTCCTTCCATGATAACTGACAATATAATCTAAACCAAGAGTATTGTTATGTGTGTTCAGTTTGTGCTCTAAGACCATATTTGAGAGAGAGAGAGAGAGNTTTTAAACCAGAGTTAATTTGCCGCTTCCTTCCTTCTGTCTTCAATTTTATTTTAACTAAGTCTTTTGGGTTTTCTCTTCTCTAATAATAAGGATTTTTCTCACCATTTCGACACACAATCTCTCCTGTTCTGCTTCCGTTTCAGGGAACTGTTCCAACCTTCTGCAGCCATTTTGACTGCTTCTCTTGTAGCCAGCAAAAAGAGCTTTCTCCTGGATAGATTAGGGACTTTGCGATGTCCCTGAGATCAGTAGGACCTGCTCTTCTCTATCACTGTTACTTCAGAACAGTTTAAGTCCAAAAAGGACCATCCAGCAACAGAGATATCGACAGCAATCCTGGAGCACCAAGATTGCATGTTGTGTCGTCACAACGTCAAGCCCCGTCTGACTTTTTTTAACCCTGCTCCTTCTTTGTAAACGATTAAAGGTGCTGCTGCCCCAAAATCAGCAATCTTGGTGGTGAATTTCAGGAGAATTTCAGCACACTGGCAGGGAAATTGTTTCAAATTGGGGGTTATGCACCCCTGACAGAATCTGTGTTAACTCTTCTTAAGTAACAAAATTATTCATTCACCACGTGGAATATCAGGAAAGAGAGATTCACCTTCCTATTTTCCCCTTCCAATGTTATAGGAATTTGGAAAAAAAATGCTTATTTATAGATCTTGAAGACATTTAAGCAGTCACAGAATGCTAGGACATGATTTTTTTAAAAAATGCTTTTATTATGTGTGAGAAACAGAAAATGTATTTGCTAAAATAATACAGTGTTCAATAAATGCAAAAAAAAAAGTTCTGATAAAAGAGTTTATCAGAGTTTTTCACCAGGGTACCTTTTAAAAACAAAATCTGCTGCTGATTCTGTGATAAACTTTGCTAAAAAGGGACTCCACACCTCCCACAGATTGCTTTCTATGTAAGTTAATGATTAACTAGCTAGCTTGGGAATCTGAAAATTTGATTGAAAATGTACATGAGGATGTAACTCCAGAAAGATTTTTTTTGTTTGAGTACAATTCTTTCAGTAGTACATATGTAGCAGAAGGATCCTCCTGAAGTGAACACTTTACTCTAAAATGATGATGATAGATAGATGATAGATAGATAGA